TCCCTTCTCCTCTATTCTCCTCTCGGGATCCTGGGCACGCACGCACACATGCCTGGCGTGAGCTTAAGCCACCGGACCCAGGACTTGAACCGCGGTCAACTACATGGGAGTCCAGTGATATAGCCAATACGCCAACTGCTGGTTCCCCGTCTAGGTTTTATTTTAGGAATTTTGTGCATTTTAACAGAACAAAGCAATGAAACTTAGAAAATGACCTCCTCCTTCCTGCACTGGAAAGCTGCCTTGGTGACTCTGGCCAGCCTTGGGGATGGTGTCGGAACTCAAGGGGCCATCCTGTCCTACCCGTCTGCCTGTACATCTTGGTCTCTCGCAGCCTGGACCTGGCAGGGTTGACTCAGTGCTTTTCTGGCCAACGCTGTTTACTTGGAGCTTTTCCGGGAGCTCTGTGGTCCCTCCCACAGGGGACAGTGTGACCCTTCGTGGCTTGGGGACCTGCAGCAAGCGTGGGCCTCAGACTTGGCTCCTGTCTCCTATGTGGTCACTCGTCCCAGGAGAGAGCTGCGGGCCACATCACGTCCTTGGACTGTTGTTGGCCGCGTTCCTTTTTCTGGCCAAAGACTTGTAAGCCAAACCCGGTCCCTGTGGCTGTGGCAGCTGAGGCTCTGTATGGTGGCTCTACCGTGAGGGCCACCACTGAGACCCTACTTTACAGGTGACTCAAGTGGATCGTAGAGGGATCTGCTGTTTTCTCTCTTCCTCCACTGCTCCATAACCAGCACATCGTGGTTCCGGTCCACTCTGCATTACCTGGGCCATCCTGGGGCCGCCCGGGCCCTCCTGAGGCTGTACCGTTCTAGAGTCCAAGAAAAGTGTCCTCGCGCGCAGCTGTCTTGTCCCTCCTCAAGAACAGCAGCCTGAGGCCGGCATCGCAGTGCAGGGCTGGAGCAGTGCTGGCGGGACGCCTCAGCTGTCAGAGGGTGTCTCTCTGCGGATGAGCCTTGGACACTGTGAGGGTGCCGTGAGGATCTTGTTTTAGGAGGTGACACTTATCTAACGCCAAGTTATTTTAAGTTCACGGTTCCGTGGTATTTCATGTGTTTACAGCATTGGGCAGCCACCATGTCTGCCTAGTTCCAGAACATTCCATCATCCCAAAAGAGCCCGTACCCGTCAGCAGTCACCCCAGCCCTCAACTGCTAACCTGCTCTCCGTCCACGGCTCGCTGTCCTGGTGCTCCCTAGGAACGACTGTTGCGGGGGCTCTCGAGCCTGGTGTCTCGCGCCCAGCCTGCCCTGCCGTGGGCCCTGTGGTGGCCGCCAGTGCTTTGCTCCTCCCACCACGTGTGGTTGGTAACAGCCCTCAGTGGGTACGCAGGCTGGGGTCACGAGCGTGAGCCTAGGTGGCCGTGGGGAGGTGTGTGGCTGTTCCGGGGCAGATGGCTGGGGCTTTACTGTCTCTTTGACCTTCAGGATCTGAGGCAGCTGTTGGCCTTGCGCTCGCCCGGTGTGGGTTCCGGGCCTGTGGAGCTGCCAGTGTCCTGAGTGTGACTTTGAGCTGTGTGGCTCTTCCTGAGCCCCTCCAGGGTCGCCACGCCCACACAGGCTGCCACCGACCCCTGTGGGTGTGGTCTGTGGGCGCACACCACGCCACCCGCTCTACGTCACCTGCTGTAGCCCACAGCCTGAGTGTTCAGTGTCTAGGCTTGGAGGGAGAACGTTCCAGCAGCCGGTCTCTTTCCTTGGCTCTCTGCTGGGCCTCTCTGCCCCTGAAGACCCACAGGAGCCACTCTGCCTGCAACCCTGGCATCTAAGCTGGGCACGCCTGTGGGTCCGTGGCCATGTTCAGCACTGCCTTCTCCCAGTCACTGCCTCAGCAGCCATTGTACCTTTGCCCCCGTGAGACTCCCGGGTGCCCAGGTTGCCCCAGGCCCCTGAGGGCTTCGTTCACGTGGGGAGCTTTTAGCAACGATTTGTACAGAGCGCACCCGGGAGGTTTAAGGTGCTGGCTCTGAGTGTTTTACGTGTCCGTAAGAGACCCGTTTCCTGCACACACACGCTTTTGCAGAGAGGTTGGCCTTCCAGTCTGGGTAGAGATGAGTGGGCATAGGAGGATGGGGGAGATGGTCAGGGCACAGTGCCCTGGGACAGCACCGTCCTGAGCCTGTGCAAGGCCCGACCACCCTGCATGGGACGGGCCTGGTGCTGCATTCCCTCGGTCCCTCAGTGGATCTCTGGGCTGAGACTTTGGCCTTGCCTAGAGAGAAAGCCCGTGGAGCGGGCCTGTGTGGCTGCTGGGAGCCAGTGTGGGCAGGGCGTTGCACGCGGGCCCTCCCTGCGAGGCCCCGGAGCCTCCACAGGCTTCAGCCATTGGAGTCGTGCTGCTGGGAGCCCGTGGCGCGGGCCTG